GCTTGAGCCCAGGAGTGTGAGGTTGCTGTGAGCTAGGCTGACGCCAGGGCAGTCACTCTAGACCGGGCAACAAAGTGAGCCTCTGTCTCAAAAAAAAAAAAAAACAACTCTGGGTGAGAGATGATGGTGACTTGGACTATGGTGGGGGGAATGGAAAGAAATGGAACAATCTGAGATATACAAGTGAAGGGAGAGTCTCACTGGCTGTGATGCAGAAGATAAGGAAAGGATTGGAGAGATAGGGAGGGTTCATTAATGAACTTGGACTTTACTCTTCAGGGATAAAGGGGAAGCCATTTAACATTTTAAGCATGGAACTAATCTATTCAGATATGGGTTTATAAATAGCTCACTTGGCAGAGGGTGGTGAGAAGACTGTCAGAACAGTACACAGGTAAGAGCTGAGGCTTAACGGGGCGGGAACAGCGGATATTGGGAGGCGCAGGAGGCAGGAGAGAGGTTTCGGAACCAGGTGTTGAGCCAAACTGCCTGGGAGCGAAGCAGAAATTGACGCAGCTCCGAGAACAGCTGGAGGACGGGGGGAGGGGCCGCGCCGCCGGAGCCGCCCTCGCCTACTGGCGCCGGGGGCGGGACCAGCGCACGCACGGCGGGATGACGCACGGCCCGAGCCGGCCTTGTTCTGGCTGCCGCCGCCGCGCTGAGGCGGAGTAGGATGAGGCCCGCGGCTGCGGCTCCGGCATCGGCGGGGGCAGCAGCAGCTGAGGCAGCAGCTGAGGCAGCCGCGACGGCTGCGCCGCCCGCTTCTGACCTGGATTAGGCCCAGCAGCTCCGTGGCCGCCGCCGCCCCACGGGGGGGCGGGGTGGGGAAGTGCTTCGTCTCCCCGCCCCCCCCCCCGTCGCTTCTCAAGAGGCAACCGCCGCGACCCCAGCGAAGCCCACGGTCCAGCCTTGAGCCCCCACCCCCGGGGGCTGGCATGAGCGGCCCCTCGGCGGCGCCGGGGGGCGGCGGAGTCGCCGTCGCCTGAGCCCCGGCCTGCCGGTCGACCCCACCTCGCCTACCGAGGCTGACCGCTGAGCTGCGAACGACCCCACCACTGCTTGCTTCCCCCCCAGATCATACGCTCCAGCCCCAGAAGATGGGGAACTGCCTCAAATCCCCCACCTCGGATGACATCTCTTTGCTTCACGAGTCCCAGTCCGACCGGGCTAGCTTTGGCGAGGGGACGGAGCCGGATCAGGAGCCGCCGCCGCCATATCAGGTAGGGGAGGGTGTGTGTTGGTGGGGGGTGCGAGGAGTAGAGGCAGCTCTGGCAGAGATTGAGGGAGCTTCCAGGCTGTCTCCGCTCCTGGCCTCGGTAAGGCCTGGCCTGGGGGGCGTTGACCCCCTTAGGGTGCATCTTAAGGCGCTTGCTTCCCAGTCCCAGAATAGGGGTGATTCTTCACCCCCCCCCCCGGGCACCGTGTGGGGACGATACTCTCCTGTCCTTGAGTTCTGGGATCAGAGTATGTGACCATATCCCCTTGGCCAGTGTCTGCTGGTTCGCGTGTGGAGTTTGGGAGTGACATTATTTTCCTGTCTTTATGTCTGAATCATAAGATTTCCTCATCTCATCGCCAACTGGATTATGGGTTCTGGATAGGTGATTGTCCACCCCCACCCCCGGCAAACATTTGTATTTTCATATGTGATCATCCACTCCCCCCGCACTCACCCCACCCCATCTTAGTTAATTGGATCTGGTAGGTGTTCATTTCTCCATGTACTTGAGACAGATCTCCAAGTGGTGATTTTGGTCCTAGCGACATCAAGAGTTACTTGTTTATATATGTATATGTTTTAACCCCTCCTCCTTTTGCTCCACCCCCATGACACACCTTTTAAACGTGCTGACTTAATAAAACTTGATTATCTTGAACTTTGGAAACCTTTAAACCTGACTTGGGAAATGTCTTCTGTTACTCATGGTTCTTCCTTTGTGTCAGAGACTCTCTGAAGTAGGTTTCAACTTGCTTTTTGACAACAATCAGTAGTCCCAGATGTGTTACAGAATTACTAGAGTTAAGACCACTTAAACTCAAAATAGAAATGCAGATGCTGTAATCCATGATGTATATGTAAAAACCTTTTCTCTGCTTTTTCAATTTTAAATATGAAATGAAAAACTTTTTTTCTGGAAGGACTTCAATAGTAGTCCTTAATTTTTTCCTGAAGGGAGTTTCATTTTCTCCTTTGTTGTTTCATGTGGTGACATCATTATCTACTGTTTTCTTTTCTCCTTCCTATGTAAACCAGTGTCTCATCACACCAGAAAAGCCTGATCACATATACTGATTTTCTGAATAAAACCCTAAAGGGGCCTTGTATAGTCCGGTCTTAATTATGGTATACAGAAGTCTCCATGACTTATCTCTCACATTCTGTATTCCAGGCCTACCAAATACACTAGGCTGTTCGCACCTGCTCATGACTTTGCTCCAGTGGCTCTCTGCTTGGAGCCCTTCCCCCAAGGTCAGCCAGGTGAACATCTAATCCTCTTTGAGGAGTCAGCTCATATCTGAAGTCCTAGTCCCCTCCCTCCCATCCTGAATCCCTTGTTTGCGTGTCCACTGAACCCTCTACACTTCCATAAGCAACACCTGTAACACTTTGTGTGTCTCATCTTTGAGGTGTTCCCTTCCATCCCCAGTACCCCAGTATAAGCTGCATGAAGGTAGGGACCCTGTTTCCAGTTCATTGTTATATCCCTAGCATCTGGCTCTTAGTAGGTACTTAGTAACTGAGCTAAATGAAGAATATAAGCCCTTGAGAGCAGGGACTATCTGCAGTTTGGGGCACATAAGAAGCACCTAAATGTTGAATGACTTAATGAATGTGAATTCAGTATTTTGTATATTTACACAACCATTTCTCCCAGGGTATGTGAATTGTCACAGGGATAAGTCTCTTTAAAAATTCAGGTTGAATCTGGATGTCTTTGAGTAAACTGTTAATATGTCATTGTCCAACCCCCCCATATATACTATACAACAAATGTGTTTATTTCAGTTTTGTGTGTACATTTTTTTATGAGTTTTAATTTCAAAATCTCCTCTGGTTCCTAGCCTCTTTCCAGGCAAATAGAATGTGTTTGGTTTACTGCTCACTTTCTGTTATCCTTATAATTGTAGTATTAAAGGTGTTAGCAT